ATGAGAAAGAAGAAGAAAGAAGAAAGAAGAAGAAAGAGAGAGAAGAAAAGAGAAGAGAGAGGAAGAGGAGAAAGAAAAAGAAGAAAGAGAGAGAGAAGAGAAGAAGAGAGAGAGAGAGGAGAAGAAGAGAAGAAGAGAGAGAGAGAGAGAAGAGAGATGAGGAGAAGAAGAGAGGAGAGAGAAGGGGAGAGAAAGAGAGAGAGAGGGAGAAGAAAGAGAGAGAGAAAGAAAAGAGAGAGGAGAGAGAGAGAGAGAGAGAGAGAGAAGAGAAAAGAGAGAGGAGAGAGAGAGAGGGAGAGAGATAGAAAAGAAGAGAGAGAGAAGAGAGAAAGACCAGAGAGAGAGAAGAGGAGAGAGAGAGAGAGAAGAGAGAGAGAAGGAGAGAGAGAAGAGAGAAGAGAGGAGGAGAAGAGAGAGAGCACGAGAAGGAGAAGAGAGAGAAAGAAGAGAGAGAAAGAGAAAGAGAGAGAGAGAGAGAGAGAGAAGAGATCGCACATGCATGCAAATCTATCTATGCATGTTTGAGTGTCATAAATTACATAAACATATTTGGAGATTCTGCTTACCCCTCTTCCTCACGAACAATATGTTTGATCTCCCCTAAATAATTAAGTAATACATGTGATATTACCTTCAATTTATAAATAAAAGCATTATATACAAATAAGAACAATTAATATTAATTTTATTCGAATTATATATTAATATTTTTGAAGACATCATAATTAAAGACAGAATTATTTGGTAATGCTGACTGAACCAAACAATAAGAATAGTGTCAATTTTTGAGTGAAGAAAGGATGCAGAAGCAAGAACATTTTTTACAAAAAGACATGCATATGCCATTGTGGATACATGGATGAGAGTCTACTGCATCAATTCAGTTGGATCTAGAACAAATATCAGTTTTGAATATTTTCTTCAAAATCTAACTGAATCAATCACAATTCTAATGATGAAAAAGTACTTCTATTTATTGTATCAATTGAATTGAATTGAATTTGCCATATTTTACGTGGCGAGACTAGGGCCATCAGGCCCGCTCTTCCGTCTGACCACACAAATTTCGCTACGCTCCTTTCACCAACTAGCAGAGAAAGAAGGTATTTCTTGGGCGAGAAACAGGCAATTTGAATTTAGCTCAGAGGCGTCATTTAGGCTCGAGTCAATTTATCAACATTTTAATTTTTATTTTAAATTTAATTTGTTAATGTTTTAATGTTTTAGTAAAAGACTGAATAAAAGGAATTATTTCAGAAAGAAAAAAAAAAAGAAAAAAAAGAAAAAAAAAGTTGACTGCACTTAACAATAAGATTGGGGGCAATTTTTGAGGGAAGGGAGAATGCAAAGGTGAGAAAATTTCTCTAAATCCTTCTTTAGCTATTTCTGTCTGGCCTCCAGTCAACAACACTTGCATTAAACACAACTGCAATGCAATCGTGAAAACTTTATCATGATCATGAGGCAAGGAAATTAGAACTAATTAACTAATAAATATCTTTACTGACAATGTACAGAAGAGGAAGTACATTGTGTTTGTTTGTTACAGTGTATATGTGTTTCAGTCATGAAGCAATAGGTTCACGCGTAGAATTTTACTACCAATTTCCATTACAAAAAGCTACTATTCTAAATGTTCCACAAATGACAAGAAAACCTAAAATAATGATTACTCTTTGTAAACAGATTATGTTCATGAGAGCAACTAGAAAGATATCCAGATTAAAACATGATACAAAAAAGTATTACAATAGAACCCCGGTAATCTGAACTAATTGGGGATGTAGTCTGTTCAGATTATTCAAAAAAATGTACCATGCATATACAAATATGCATCTATAGGATTACCAGATAATGTAATATAGTGTGCAATGTGAGAAAATGGAAACATAACGTAGCGATTGCATCATCACACAAATTCAGTTACAGCAAAAGTTTACTGATTTTGCAAGTTCCTCTAAGTGAAAATTACTGCTATATAAGCACGTGATATACACCGTAGTTACACGTGATATACACTGCAGTGCAATAAACATTTCATTTCGACAATTTATATTTCAACAAATTAGTTGTCTGGTTCTACAGTAATTATAAAGTCCTTTCTTTACATTATAAATCAATATTTTTTTACCCCCCTCCATCCTGAATGTTGTTCGGATTATCCAAAATTTCAAATTTGCGAGGTTCTATTGTATTAATAACTAAAGACAGGAGTTCGATGCAAATGCATGTTTTAATTTAATATTACTTCAACTCTCAATCTTTGAAAACATGTGTTTCATTCTGTTAAAAAATGTATAATGTGTTTGCATATTTCAATGATTTTTTGAGAAATTCATGGGTAAAGAATGAATTCTATTTTTCCGCATATTATTGCATATTAGACTAATCTACCATATTAAGTATAAGCAAGTTTTATCAATCTTTTGCATACAATGTGTTAACGTTAAAGTTAATATACATAACACATTCTTAGAACCTGACAACAGATGACACTCATATCTTTTATTTTTAAGCTGCACTCTTTAAAATTCTTCGAATATTGGAAGAAAAGCAGCTACAAACTAAATCCTTTCATAAACCTTAATTCACATTTAAAATAGTTTCTTGGTGTTCCAAAATAATTTTTTCAACACGCAGCTGAATCTAACTGAAGAAAGTTTTGAAAATATATTAAGCGTCTACTGTTAGAAAAGGCACTAAAAGAGAAAATTAATAAAATACTTAAATTTGATTGTACATAATTCATTATTTTTACCTTAAATGTGCATTTGATAGCACATATTTGCATGCATATTTCAGTACTTAATGGTGCACAAAAATCCTGACTTTGTTAATGACATTTTCACTTTCTTAATTGAGTATATTCAATCAATTTTTTTTGCTTACCTAAAAACTTCAAGACTCTCCCAATTAAAACGCAGTTTAGAAGAAGCAATTTTTGTAGGTAATTCATTAATAGAATCCTTTATATCATCCCCACCTTCACTTATAGTACAAAACACAACTTGGGATGGTCTCCGCTTGACTAAATGGTCATACATTTTACATAGGCTACAAACAAGTAAAAACAATGTAAGTATGAATTTGACAATAAATTAAATATAAAAATGTAATACTTTAATAAAAAGTAAACTGGACCAACTTTGTACACAGAGTCCACAAGCCATTATTATAATTTTTAGATATACCAAAGCATGCCATATCTTGCCATGATAAATTGGTCTTTAGGATATTTTTAGATGTCAATAGCTTGTAATTCTCTTTTGTTTTTTCAACTCTTACATGATATTTACATAGAACACCAGAGAGTGAACAAACAATAAATGAATCATCATTATACACTTCCAAACCTGCAAGTAAACATAAAGGCAATACAGATATTTTTAAAAGCTATTGACACAATTACTCATATTCATTTCAAATCTGATTATGAAAGAAGTTACCTGTCAAAGGAAGGCCTCCAAGATGATAATGACAATAGGATGCAACCTCTTCTTGTGTGATTAAAAATATTAACAGAAAACTATTTTTAGTTACACCTAATATTCTCTGTTTAACATCGCAGATAGAAGAATGTGTCAGGCTTTTAATGCCAGATACTTTCATACGATCTTTCTCCTTCCATATTTGTTGCATGTTTAGTACTGATACAGATTCATTAAAATCATCAAAAGAGAAAGTAACAGCAGTCACACATCCATTCGAATCTCCAACAATAACTGAAATCTGTTTTTCATACCACTGCATCCAATGCAAAGAGCTAGCATTATACATATTTGTTTCACATGTGGTTAATAATTGAGGATAATAATTTTGAGCAGGAATGCCTAAATCTGGTAAGTGATTAACTTTCCACAAAGCCAATGTTCCATAGTGAGATATTGTAGCTATAAAGGAATATCTTTCCTGTTCCAATTTAATCATATTCCCCCACACCATGCCTGAAAACAATGTTGAAAAAGTGTCAAAAAATACAAAATTAAAGTTATTACAGTTCCTCCATAATTTATGTAATACAAATTTGGATGATTTATGATACTCCCTGTAAAAAAAAATTTAAAGCAAACCACCTAAATGAATTGCATTAGTCTTACATCAACTCCTCTTTTCTATTTATAAGAAAAAGTAAATTATACAATTAAATACTAAACAATTTATGCATCACAACTTAGTAATTAATTTATATATTTTTAAAATTTCTATTATTAATATTTTAACATTTTCTACTCTTAATATTAGTGTGATGTAACACTAATCTAACACACCGTATAATTTATATAAGCAATGTAGAGTTCAGTTCAGAGCTCTCAATCAGATATCTCAATTTCATTGTTTTTTCAGTTCTACTCAAAGAGGAAGTTAGAGACATATTCCTATTACATTAGTTTTTCACTCTCTTCAATTTAAAACTTTTGTTCTAAAGAGTAAAATTCACTTCAATGATGCCAATGAAATAATAATGATGACAAATGAAATAATGAAAAATAAAATAATAGGGACAAAATAAGAGGCAGGAAATTATAATATGATAATAAAAAAAAAAAAATCAACCTGTAATTTTCAATTGGGAAGTTCGCTTCTGTAATGTGGCAAACTCTGCAGCAGAACTCATCTCATCTACTTTGTCAGTCCACTGTGCTTTGCAGTTCTTTACCCAAAACTGTGATATGTCTGTCACTTCCACCCAACAATTGAAATAAGGTACATACAGTTTCAGGCATCCTGTACATGTTAATGTGGCAATAATGCACCTGAAATATAAAATGAAAGTTTGATATTATAGAGATATTTTTCTTCTTGTTTAAATAACACTCATAAGCAAACATTGTTACCTATGGTCTTGATACATGCAAGCTGGACTCCATTGAGCAGCAGTAAACCGAGGTTCAGGAGGCCTAGCTTCAGGGAAATGAGGAGCAAGTTTCATATCCAAAATCAGACGATATGCATCACGCTGCTCCAAGCGAAAGATCAAATTTTTTGTATCCATGCCTGTAAGAAGCCTATTATTAATGAATAATTCATGAAGTGTAAATCCTGCTTTGGCATGTCCATATATAAACAATGCAGATAAGAAGCAGCCCATTTTACACCAACTGTTCAGAATGTTGAAACAAAGACAGTAGCGGGAAGATAGGCTTTTCTCTTATGATACATATTTTAAAAGCTTTAATTTTAAGATTCCTCACAAGTACATTATTTTCATGTAAAATTGCATATAGTTTCTGTCAGTGAAAGTCAGTAGCAGAGCCTTTATTTTTTTAAGGAAACTAACACATTCAAAGACACACAATGAGGAAGTAAGAGCAGCAACTTCCCAACAAAATTCAATTTACACATTTAAAAATCAACTGAAAGCTTTTCTGTTGCAAAGATCATTTTACAGTATGAAATAATAAATAACTGAAGTTCTTAAATTTACATCCTTTTGTGCTTATACCCAGTCAATTCACTCTTACAATACAGCACCAAATGGACTTGTAAAAATTCTATTAAAACTCACAATCAAAAGTTTAAAAAAATTATTTTTACTGTTGACACTAACACTCACTAGTGTGATCATGATGTGGCATTCTGCAAGACTGTCTACAAACATGAAGGGATGTAAAATAAAGATCATCAACTATAAACAATAGTCGCATATTCATAACATACAAGACTATTTCTAAATTATTAATGGACAGAAAGGATAAAAATATGACATTGTTGTGTGGTATTATATTATTTTCTATTTCTATTAAAATTTTTGTATTGTATTACATAGCTAATTTCTTATTAGGGAAAATATACTATTTTGACTTGTCACACGACTAGTGCAGTATTATGTGACTAATAAATAAATAAAAATACAATAGTAATAAGAATATTATTACATAAATATAATAATTATAACCAAGAACTAAAAACATTTACAGTAGGTAGTTTTAATTACAGTTGCACAGCTTTTAGAATACGTATTGTATTCTACTACTATTTTGTACCTGAATACAAAAAACATGAGTTTCAAGTTTCTAATTAGCTCAAAGTAACACAGAATGTATTGGTTTCAGTAAAATTTACATTTCATGAAACATGCTTTCACAATACTCTAAGAGTGACTGATAGATTTTTATCAAGCATTATTTTTTGAGATTTTTGCTTTGATGACATTCATTCTATTAAATAAAAACAAAATTGAATAACAGGTAAAGTCCTCTGACATACCACAGGACCCTGCAAATTTGCAGAAAATTATAATTCTATTTCAAATCATCAAAAATATGTTTATATGAGAGTAGCATTTTATTGAAATTTGGAGTCAATACAAAATATTATTTCTAGCAGTGTATTAAAAACAATACAGTTTTTCAACAGAAAGACTTTATAACCACACAGATTTAGATTATAAAATTCAAAAACTGTCTTCTTGAGCAAAGAATTTATTTCCAGTTATTATTTTTTTCCAGTAATCACATGAGAATATTAATAACATTCCTCATTTATACTAATTTCTGAACTAAAGAAACCAACACAAGGGCTGAAAAAGTTTTCAATTAACCATATAAATAATAGTAAATTTTCATTGTCCTGTTCTCTATTATTGTACCTGAAATTGAGTTCAAAATGTCATCAATTGCCAGAAAATACTTTCAACTCAGTTTTTTCTTGGAAGGTTCTTTTTAATTTCTAATTTAAATTTTGTTACATACCTACTACATAATAAAAAAGCAACTTTTCTTAAAAAATTGGTAAAACAACTAAACTGTCTCTCTTAAAATTTTATTGCTATAAATAAATTTCAATTGATTAACCACATTAACAGCTAAAAAAATATGAGATAAATTCCACCAAAATAATAGGATATAAACACAATATTAAATCTATAAATTTTTTCAAAAGTTAAAAGTAAGCAAACCTGCATCAGCGGTAGGAGCATCATCACTTGGTTTGATTTTACTTTTTTTCAGACACATTTCTCCAGTGGTTGCATTTGGATTAGGGACCACCTCCTGTTAAAAAGAAAATGGATTTGAGAATTTCAAATTTGACACTAAAGATTTCCTATTCTTCCCAGTAAGAAAATATAACATCCAACAGTCATTGTAACTATCAAGCTATCCCTATCAAAGCAACAACACATACGAGTATCATTTTTTGGCCTGCTTTGAAAAGCAATGGCATTCCGCAAATACTTCTAAATATGTGATGTATAATACTATTTATTGTTGTCTACCAAATCACAAAATAAAACTTTGCAGAATTGACACAAGTGTACAGAATATTAATATGGTGAATCACTTTAATTGACCATCACAAGGCACTGTCCTATAAAACAAAATTGTCTATACATTCGGGAAGCCATTTGCAAGGAAGATGGTGCTCAAGGTGGTCATTAGATGATGTAAGTATTGTCTAGCTTTGGCACTCTCATTGATATTCATGTAGGATTCTATGTTACTTGAGATATAAAAGCAAAACAAAAGCTTTTTCTTCAAGCAAATAATAGGGATACTTCTCAAAGAAGATTAACATTGGCATATCCAGTGTAACTCTCATAATTCTGAGTTGAAATGTTGCATATTATCATAAAGTACCATTTCTGAAGAAAAATCTCCTGCAATGATTAAAGTATTTAATAAATTCTCAAGAACCTACAGCTCAAGACAACTGGCAGAATGATCCATACAATGAAGTTTAAGATTAAGAATGTGACATGATCTGGAGTAAATGCAAGGATAAGGTTACATAATATAGAAGAAATGAAAACAACTACATAAGTACAACAATAATTTGTTATTCTTATAATAATATACATATATTCACATACAATAGTAAATACATCACAGAATCGATATCATTAAATATAATAATTCTGAAATCAGAAATTTGTTATTCCAAAGAAATATTGCAACTTGTCATGAAATTTGATTAAACTCTCAGTGCAATTGAACAAAATATCTTTGAAAAATTGGGCCAATATGTAAAATTGATTAATCCTACGTAATGAAGTTACATTTTCTATTGTTTTCCATTTTTAAGACGTATGGATAGAGTCAAAAACATTTAATAAATAACATTAATACTTTTAAATTATCTTGAAACACATAGTAACGATATCATTACAATCTTCAGATGTAATACACAAATATGTACAAAGGAAGTCAATTCTGGACTAGACTGAACTGAAACAAATCAGTAATTAACATAAAAATAAATAAAATTCACAATACAAGCCTCAACATATATTTTGAAAGCCAAAGTTACAGAAATATTATAAAAATTAGTCATTTTTGGTTCTCAAAAAGCAAATACAATGTCAAATGCACTAATATCTTTACATAGCATCAAAATGAAATCTATGAGCTTCTTGCAATTTTTCAATCCTATCTTCTCGTCTTTCCTTCATATATAAACCAACAATAATAGCAACAATTAAACAACATGTGCCTGTCAAAGCAGCAACACTAAGCAATATCAATTTGCTTGGTGTAACAAACAACCTTGCCCTCCACCTGGAAGGAGATTTGGGTGGATCTGGAATGACAACCATCTGAGAATTTGGGATTATTTGCGTCCACTCTCTGCTTTTCCCACCAACTCCAACAGTAAGGTTATCCACAAAATTAGGGGTCCGTCCCAATCCAAAAATTGAATATGGCAAGCCAAGAGCAAAGTATGCAGACTGAGGCAGTTGAGCTGCAACAGCCGTTCGTAGTCGTCCCTCCTGTGTGGTGGTACAATAAGAAATTCTAGGTCCAGGTAAACTTGTTCCTCTTTCTTTTCCTGCCAATACCATGACTTTCACAAAATTTGCATCATAATCTAATGTGTTTCGAAAAGCCTCAACATGATCTTGGGAGGCTACAATAATATCTAAAACTCCATCCTGGTATAAATCATAGAACAAAACTAGAGAAGCATCTTTATTCCCTGAACTCAAAGTATCCCAATGAACTTTAAATGTACGACTAAAACCTCCACATGACCCTTTTGCTTCACATGGGACATTCTTCAAAAGGTAAGCAACATGTTTATCACCATGATGAAGTATAGCTAGCAGGTCTGGATAACCATCCATGTTGAAGTCCCCTGCTCTAAGTGACATAGTTCCGAAATGAAGATTTCCATTCTTCTTGAAGTCCTCTGTAAATCCCCAACTATTTCCTGAAGAATCTTTGAAATCAGGATTTAAATCATGCCATTCATTCTTGTGGTAAACAAATAAAGTACTAGACTTCTCACAGTTATCATCTTTACAAACTGGAATAATGTGCTGAAGCACTCCCTCTAATTCTAAATCAATGAATAATGACTGACCAATAATTTTGGCAGAGGGACGAGGAATTGTTTCATCAAGGCTATAGTTATTCTCTTGCTTCTGAAGCCAAATTTCATATCCTGTTTTTGCAGAAAGAACTAAATCTGGAGCATAGTCATCATTGACATCAAAAAATGCATGAGAATGAACTTCTTTTAATTCATGCTTCTCATCTTTTTTAAGTGGCACCTGTTCAGGTGGACTTCTGTCACTCTTGAACACCCAAAACATAGATTTGCCATCTTCATTCAATCCAAATAAATCCACAATCATATTATGATCATAATCTAATGCAAGAGGTTGACCTTTCATTACGACAAAGGGTTTATCATGACTACAATTCAAATAATTATATTCTCCCCAGGCAATATATACATTTGTTTTGTCACCATTTTTCACTGTCACTAGTACATCCATATGAGAATCACCATCAAAATCACCAGGTACAACACTTGTGATAACTTGGTCAAATTTACAACGCAGTTCATGAGGTCTCAATAAAGGTTCCTGATCAGCAGCAAGAAATACTTCCACAGTTTTTCCATCTTCACGGATTGCAAAAAGATCAGTGAGTTCATCTGAGTTGAAGTCTCCAAATGCAGCAGGTAATAGATCAGTTACTGATCCAAACACACGATCAGTTATATTACTACAATTCACAACTGAGGAAGACATTAACACCAGGAGCATGAAGAACACAGTGCATATTTTGTTCTTCATGTTTTGATGGAAAATGAAGCCCTGCCAATAAAGACAGGAATCACAGTTAGAGTTTGTGTCAAGAACACACAAATCAATCATCTTCCCAAGTTTGTTCCCATCTTCCCACTGAATAACATTTCTTCATTATAAAATTATGTAGAAACAAAATTTAATACCCATTGGAAAATAGGAAGAGACTATAGAAAGGTTATAAGTTACTTATCATTTTCATACTTACATAAACATGTATCGCAGATGCAGATATAACAGAAACTTTGTGATCTTCAGACCACGACATCCCATTGTCAGATTGAATCGTAGACGACAGAACAGAATACAACTCTTTCACATTAATTTCCTCCATAATGAAGTTGAAACTGGAACAAACATATACAACGATTTTCGAGGTAATAAAAAAATCATTATTAATTAAACTTACCTCATGTTTTATAAACTTACTGTAGTATGAATGCTATTGCAAATACACGCACCCTATACGCATTTTAGAAACTATCTAATGAGCGTGTACATCACACTTCCAGACATCGGTAATTTGCTTTGGTTTGTATCTCAATCTCAGTATTTCCGCGGATGAATAACAGGTGATAACAGGAAATTGCACAGACTTCTACGTTCTGGGTTGTCACAGAAAACACAGATCACAAACACTTTCCTGTGACGAAAACGAAGTCTGATATAAGAGTTCTTTGGAAGTAGGGTCATGGTAAACAAATGAGTTTGTGCACGTCAGAGCAGCAGCACTTCTGCGTATGCGCAGATGCAATAAAGTGATGCGAAATTTAAACAGTGCATGCCCACAAGATCGATAATGCTTTACAGTTCGAGGGTGCACAAGCTACCTACTATAGTAAGGTGTTCACTGCGCATATCGCTGCTCGACCAAAACTTTATTGGTAAAGCTTTGGTCTAGCAGCGCCAAATTCAAATTATCTACCGCTTACGCGAAGACATTTGAAAGTTACGTAACATAAAGTAACATGATTTGCTAATAAACATACCCGTTTAATCTAGAAAGACCTGAAATTTAGTAAATTGATTATATTAACGCATTTTTAGACGTTTCCGGGTTTGTAGATCATGGTCTAACGGAGACTGGTCCATTCGTTTTCGCCAGCAGGCACTGGCGTTGCTGGCGGGTGCAGCGTGTTCTTGGCAGCACCGCGTCAACTGACGTTCATGCGGCTCTATGACCCGTATTTATGGTGACGGGCGAGGTTCTTTTATCGAGGTTTGTTTATCTATATTACACGGAGAGGCTATTCGTTTAAAGTCTGCTTAAGGAGGGTCAAACATTCTCTCGGCAATTTCCTTTTCAAACATTCCCAATGGGGGTTATGTATACCGAGTTTGAAATGGGTAGCTGAGAGTATTCGAGAAATGTTATTAAAGAATTTTGCGGATAGATGGGAGAAATGTACAGTGATGGGGGTGATATTACTCGCGCAACTTTTCTTGAATGATGTCCTTGATCCCCCTCCCTTGTGCAATAAACAGTTGAAGGCAAAAGCTCGCAACGGGCACTGATGACAA